TTGAAGAGATCTTTGAAGCATCAGAAATCCCAAAGGGCACGCGCCGAGAATTCGTTATTGCTCATGCAGGGCGACCGTGTCTCCAATTGCATACAACCCATATGGTTTGTCCGAGTCCTGATGGCTCCCCCATCCATCCCTGCCCAGTCATTGTCGTCACTGTGCCGCGACTTTGGTATGAAAGAAGCCAAGCGTATATCGAAGTACACAGTCAGCAAAACCAGAGATGCGTTTTGCGAGATATTAAAAACAATGAACAAGACTCAAATCCACAACTTGGTCAAATCAGAGGGCGGCCCTGGCGCAACAGTCATGATCCGGCACACGCACGACGAAGCTCTCATGAGGATGAAGAGCTACGCCTCGGAGACCTCTGCCACTTACGACATCCCAGGCAACCTTTGCCGGGGGCGTTCAAGTAAGGTCCAAAACCATGTGGTGAGCGTGTCCTGCCATGGTCATGCCACGCCCGTGCTGTGCGAACTCCAGGCTTTGCATCGAAAAGATGCTGCGTCAATTTCCACCTCACTTCTGAGCACGATCATGCCGGTTGTGCGGACCTGCGCGGGGGCCTGGCCCAGCGGGCGCGTTCGGATTGTGTACATTTTGATGGGGGATGGAATTGGCACCAATGGCGCGGCGGCTCGCCGTGTGTACCAGTATTTTTGTCAACACCATCAAGATATGAATATTCAATTATTCATGGTGCTGTTCAAATGTTCCTCTCGGGCCGGGCGAAAGGGGGGGATTGGGAAAGGGGGGGTTACGAAATTTGCTGCATGCAGCTGGTTTCGGCCTCTCCGAGGGGCCCATTCCTCGATACATGGCCGCCTCCGGCGCCGGGTGGCGCCGGGAGAATCAGCTACGTGAGCTGATTCTCAATCCCCCCCTTTGCTATCCCCCCCTTTCGCCCGACCCGATCCTCGCATCAGAGCAACCTCGTGGTCAATGTGGCTATCGCAGGCAAACTAGGGGGCAACCCCGAAAGGAACGACCCGTTGACAGGGACATGCGTGCGGCTATTCCGGTATCTCCTGACAGATTATTTGGAAGAGTTCGCGTCTGCTCTGCGACGTTACATCGTGGATCGGCTGGTCGTCGCCCCAGCCGACGACGTTGTCGACGACGTAGCGCGGGGAAAGGAAAGCAACCGAAGGCTCCAACAGCTGTACGGCAAGCGTGCCCTGCCAGACGATGTGCTCGAGTTTTTCAATACTGGCATTGGCGCTTTCAGGACTGCTGCGCGCCCTGGGGCGAGCGAGGCGGATATCCGCCGCAGGGCGTACGATCTCTTGTACAAGCACTTGTTCAAACTCGAGAGCAAGCCGATCGTCACAAGGTTCTGGCTGTTCACGGACGCAGTGTTCACACTTCTTCGGTTCGTGTTGCTGGGGTTGCCAGCTGACAAAATATTTACGTTGAGCATGACCAAGCCTCAAGAGGAGAATCAAAAGCGTCTGACGTCTGTCAAGAATTTCTTTTCCCAGGAGGACTGCGGCCGCCTGCTGCGCAAGGCGAGCTTGTGCTTGCGCCTGACGCAACACGCCACGTCGATTACGGGGCAGACAAAGAAGAGCATTGAGGAGCACCGAAAGCCTCTCCTGCTGCGGTTGGCGCAGGGGGACGTGCAAGCTGCCACTTCCCGCGACTTGCAGGTGATGATTCCCCTGCTGGGCCACGACCCAGCGTTAGATATTGCCGACGCGTTGTATGGACTGCTGCTGACGCAGGGACACATAGTGGCCCGCTTTAGCCAATACGCAGAATACCCTTTGCGTCTGTGGAAGATCGTGCGCGAATTCAACTCTGAGTTCTACAGCCTTAATCTGGAGGTCACGCGATTCCTTCTGCAGCCCGAGAGTCGTCTCGATGCAGGTTTCTCGTTGCGCTTGCGGCGCGAGGCTCTGCGTGGCCGCTCGGAGGCCGAAGCTCAGTCGTGGCTGCTGTCAGACGCCATCCAGACAGAGCTGAAAGACTTCTTCTTCGCCTGCGACGGCAACAGCCTGGACGCTGAGCGCGCCCACAGTGCAGTGAAGAGAAACGAGACGTCGCGCTCGAGCGGCCTGGCAAAGTGCAGTCGCAACGGCATCCTGCAGAGGGTTCACGTCAACAGGCAGCGCACCGTCTGCGAGTCCATCGATGTCATCAAGCAGGCCGAGAAGGATAAGTTCATGAACGCCCCGGCTCTGGCGAAACAGCGAGCCCCCGAACTCTTCAAGCGCCCCCGCGGGAAGCTGCACTGGGAGCGGGGCATCACGGACGCCGAGGCCAGCGCGACTGTGCAGCCCGCAGACAAACAGCGGCAAAACGAGTACATGCGGGATCACGGCGAGGCGCTGGAGGCCGAGGCCGCCGAGGTGCGCAGGCGGGCGGAGGCATTGCTCGCCCGTTTGCAGAACGAGGCCCCTGTCATGCCTGTGACAAACTCGCAGTGGCTCCAGTGGCTCCAAGACAACGACTCTACCTTCCGCGAGCACCTGGCCAACGCGACAGCGCAGAGGAGGCCGCTGAACGCGCGAGTTGCGCCGTGGGCTGACGTGCCAGATGGCCCGCGTCTGCTGCCCCAGCGCACGGTCGAAACGGGGTGTGCTTGGAGTCGCTTGCTTGCCTCGCAGCCTCCTGGAGTGTACTGCTTGGACACAGGAGACCAGAAGTGCACTTTCTTCGCCTTCTCTATTTGGCAGGAAGCGTGGGCAATCTTCCTTCCGAGGCAGGGCAGGTCGATGACGCTCAACGTGAAGGCTGGCTTCGTCAGCGCATTCGGGCCAGCCGTCGCGCTGCTGGAGGCACGCGGCGTGTCCGTGCGCAACGAAGGGTGTGAGCTGACTCGGCTCCGCGCGAGCGTCGTCAAAGTGTCCGCCGACGAGGTCGAGCTGCGGGTCGACGAGCAGGCGGCCGTCGATCGAGCACCCGCCCGGCGCGGCAAAGGATTCGCCCGAGGCGAAGGCTGGCGCCGAGGACGGCGACGACGACGAAGTGGTCTGGGCCAGTGACGCGAGCGACGTGGCCAGCGCGTGCTCCGACCCAGAGTCAGCCGCCGAAGACCTCGCCGAGGAGTCGTCCAGCTCCTCGTCGTCGAGTTCGTCGTCTTCGTCGTCCTCCTCCTCTTCCGATTCCGAAGAGGACGGGGGTGGGGCGGGCGCGCCGGCGCACGCGAAGGACACCTTCACAGCGTGGCGCAACTTGTACTTTACGCTACAGAACCACGATGATTACCCGAACGCGAAAATCAAGATCCTCTCGACCTGGTGCAAAGACGTGGACGACGGCGGAATGGGCACTCGACATATGAGCAAGACATTGAAGACGAAGCCGTACGACGGGGCCGCGGACATCCCGGTGAACACATACGCTTGCCTCCGAGCGTGGATGATATGGCGCTTCCAGCAGCACGGATTTGCGGCGGCGCACCCGAGCCGCGCCGAGTTCCTCGCGTCGGAGGTCGCCTCCCTCCGCAAGGATATCGAAGCGATGGGGCACGGAGGGAGCACAGGGAATGCAAAGGCAGATTCCCTCGTGCGCAAATGGGCGCGTGATGCGATTCCGATCGCCTGAAAAAAGGAGCAGAAGGAAGAGGGGGAACACTATCGGAACGCTATCGGAACACTATCGGAACACTATCCGAGGGGGAAACAGCGGATTCCGACGGATGTCGGGAACCGTACGTTTTTCGCGCGATTTCTGCTCCGATAGCGTTCCGATAGCGTTCCGATAGCGTTCCGATAGCGTTCCGATAGTGTTCCGATAGTGTGCCCGTGGCGATCCTTCCCCGCCCGCCTCGCTCTCGCTGGCGTTTCCTGCCAGTGTTCGGCTGTGCCGCCGCCGTGGACGGCCCTGCGAGTGGAAGGGAGACGCCTGGGGGTGGAGAAGGAGGCGGCGGCGGAGGAGCAGGAGGAGGAGGAGGAGAGGAGGAGGAGGAGGAGGAGCAGGAGGAGGAGGAGGAGGAGGAGGAGGAGGAGGAGGCAGGAGAGGAAAAGGGAAAGGGGGGGAGGAGGACGAAGGAGGGAGGAGGAGGAGGAGGAGGAGGCGGCGGAGGAGGGGGAGGAAGGAGGTAAGGAAGGCGGAGAGGAGGCGGAGGAGGAGGAAAGGAGGAGGGAAAAGAGGAGGAGAGGAGGAGGAGGAGGAGGAGGAGGGGAGGAGGAGAGGAGGAGGAGAGGAGGGAAGAGAGGAGGGAGAGAGAGGAGGAGGGCCGAGCGGGAGTACGGAACGAGGAAGCGTCGGCAGGAGCGTTCGGCAAGGAGGCCGCGCCGTTGGTTTGGGCCTTTGCTGGTGTGAAGAGGAGCAGCAGCCAGAGAGAGAGACGCTGGTGTGAAGATCCCCGGAGGCTCTCGCCCCCGGATTGCCGCTCCTGGAGATCCCCGGAGGCTCTCGACCTCATGCGCGCCGATGATTACCCGCGGACCTCCGCTCCTGGAGGTCCTCGGAGGCTCTCGACCCCATCGGCGAAAACACAAACATGCCCTTTCGGAGGTCCGTACGTTTTTTTTATCAGCGTTGGATCCCCATGCCTGACGCGCGGAGCGCGGCCCAGGGGGGCCCGACGCCGATCGAAAAATCCGCGCCGAACTCCGAACGTGCATGTTTGGGTTTTCGTTATTCCAGTTCTTTTGTGGCCATGTAGGCCCAGAGGTCGTCCGGCTCCAGTTTGCACAACTGTCTGCCTCGGTTCTCGAGGCGCCTCATGCGCGCCGATGATTACCCGCGGACCTCCGCTCCTGGAGGTCCTCGGAGGCTCTCGACCCCATCGGCGAAAACACAAACATGCCCTTTCGGAGGTCCGTACGTTTTTTTTGATCAGCGTTGGATCCCCATGCCTGACGCGCGGAGCGCGGCCCAGGGGGGCCCGACGCCGATCGAAAAATCCGCGCCGAACTCCGAACGTGCATGTTTGGGTTTTCGTTATTCCAGTTCTTTTGTGGCCATGTAGGCCCAGAGGTCGTCCGGCTCCAGTTTGCACAACTGTCTGCCTCGGTTCTCGAGACGCGCCTTCCTTCTGCGCCATGGCCTCGGAGTCTCTCGCGTTGGCCGGCAAGGCGCGGAAAGCAGCGAAGCGCCAGCTCAAGGAATGGAGCGACAAGGGCGAGCTGGGTTTGGCAAACGGCCACGACGACGAGGATATGATCATGACGTATGTCCGCCTGAAGGCTGGCCTTCCCGCAGGTGAGCGGCTGACGCCCGCCATGATGCGCAGCCAGGACGCCTCCGCCAAGATGAGCACGTCCGTCGGCATCGCGTACTTGGCGCAGACCAAGGAGAAGTTGCCAGTTCTCCCGCCCAACGCGAACAAGTACCTCGTGGATGCTTCCTCGGTGCCCGACCTCCCCAGCAACCTGCCGGCGGACTCCATCTGGATGTTCGACCAAGCCATCCGCGACGACCCAAGTGTCAACAAACTGCTCTTGGGGACCGGCCTCCAGAAGGTGAAAACCAACGCGGGCACGACGAGGTCCTCAGGGCCATCGCCCCAATCTTGCCATCTTTGAAGCGCCCAGCCTTCGTTGAAGACCCCGGGTCATCCTCGAAAACCCCCTGCCGCGTTCGTGGCCCCCGGTGCCTCTTCTCAAACGCTTTCGATGATCCTGTGGAACCCCCCTGCTTTCTAAGAAGCGGCCCCTCTGCGAGCCGCCGGCGCCCCAACCCTCAGGTCCTTCCGCCTCGGTGGTCGGCCTGGCCAAGCGGCGCTGCCCGGGCCGCCAACGCCTGGGGCACCGGAGATCGAGGACAAGCCGCAGGAGCAGGTTGCCCCGCCGCCTGCGCCAGGGAGGTGCCTGGCCGAGCGCCGGTCCGAGACGGAATTGACCGACGAGGAGGTGGCCGTTCGCCTCATCACGAAGACGGGGAAAGCCGGCCAGGAAAAACGGTATTATTCGGAGGACCCTTACAATACAGACACCGTGGAGAGATACTTGTCCGAGTTCGTGGAGCACCTCGTAAAGTTGGCGGAGAAGACGACCAAGGGCGAGGGCGGCGAGCTCCCGCCACCGCCCGGTTACGTCGTGAAGTTCATGGCGGGGGTGACGAAGGTGCTGATGCTGGGGCGGACGTATTCGCTCCTGAAGCACTTCGCCCCCCACTTCCGGAAGATCGAGGCGTCGTGGGGCGCGGCGGTCCCTCCGTTGACCCTGTGCGTGTGCAAGGTGGCCGACCAAAGCTTCTGCGATGTGACTATAGAGGGGGAAGAGCTGAAGGCCATGCAAACTGGCGTGTCCTGGGCTAGTTGGGAGGTGATGAAGGACTGCGAGCTCTTCGCAGATTACAAGACAGCGAGGAACAAGGCGCTGATGGAGAAGTTGCGGAAGGGCGACGGGGTGGACGCCAGCAAGCGGAGAGCGACCGTCGAGGTGCTCCTCGACCACGCTGGTGCGGACGAGAAGTTCGAGCTGACCGTGGCGGCGACTGCGCTGCAGGCCCCCTCGACCGCAAGCCTCCTGGCGTACCTCTTCGGGCTCCCCGACGAAAAGCAGAGGCAGCAGGCTTTCAACCACTGCGCGGCGTGGTTCCCTGAGAAGACAGACGTTGCGAATGTGATGAACTTCGCGCTGGTGCAGATTGATTTTCGCCAGTGGGACCCGGCCTCGTACCTGTCTGCGTCTCGGTTCCTCTGCGCATCGGGCATGGATCTGAGTCTCGTGAAGCACCCGACGTTGAGGCCGCTCATCCAGCTCTTGCAGAAGTGCCTGGACGCGCCCGGCGCGCAGAACACGCACGTCACGGAGCTCACCGACGGCATCTTCATGGAGCTGAGCGTCGCCAAGTGCGGCTTCATGGGGCACCAGGGCGGGGAGCCCCCCGCGCTGGTCGAGCCGCGTTGCGACTCCTACACGGCCCTTGTGAAAGCTTTCGGATCCACCCTGGCGAAGGCCACCTGGCCTTCGACACTCCCGGGGCCCTTTGGCCGATTTCCCTATTAATTGTGCGGTATCTGAGCAGGCCCAGCGCCTACAAGGAGAGGATCGAGGAGTCGAGGCGTCGATTCGGGTTTAAACGCCATAATATTTTTGATGATTTTCGTTTTTCATTGCGCAGCATAGTTTTTGTATGATTTTGTATTTCTGCGTTGATGAGCTTTTCCTGGTCTCGGTTTTCTGGTCAACAGCATATGTTTTGATGACTGCTCGTTTCCCTTCTCGACGCTGCGGCCGCGGGCAGGCGCCCGGGGGAGGAGGAGGAAGAGAAGGGGGGGAGGAGGAGGAGGAGGGGGGAGGAGAAGGAGGAAAGGAGGCGGATGAGGGGGGGGGAGGAGGAGGAGGAGGAGGAGGATGAGGAGGAGGAGAGGAGGAGGAGGAGAGGAGGAGGCGGAGGAGGGAGGAGGAGGAGGAGGAGAGGGGGAGGAGGGAGGAGGAGGAGGAGGGGAGCAGGAGGAGGAGGAGGAGGAGGATGAGGAGGAGGAGGAGGAGGAGAAGGAGGAGGAGGAGGAGGAGAAAGAAAAGGAGGAGGAGGAGGGGGGGAGGTGTCCTTGGGTATCCTTGGGTATCCTTGGGTATCCTGGGGTATCCTGGGGTATCCTTGGGTCTCCTAGGGTCTCCTTGGGTCTCCTAGGGTATCCTTGGGTAGTCTTGGGTCGTCTTGGGTCGGCTTGGGTCTCTTTGGGTCTCCCTGGGTCTCCTTGGGTCTCCTTGGGTCTCCTTGGGTCTCCTTGGGTCTCCTTGGGTCTCCTGGGGTATCCTTGGGTCTCCTTGGGTCTCCTTGGGTCTCCTTGGGTCTCCTGGGGTATCCTTGGGTCTCCTTGGGTTTCCTTGGGTCTCCTTGGGTATCCTAGGGTATCCTTGGGTATCCTTGGGTAGTCTTGGGTAGTCTTGGGTCGGCTTGGGTCTCTTTGGGTCTCCTTGGGTCTCCTTGGGTCTCCTTGGGTCTCCTTGGGTCTCCTTGGGTCTCCTTGGGTCTCCTTGGGTCTCCTTGGGTCTCTTTGGGTCGCCTCGGGTCTCCTTGGGTCTCCTTGGGTATCCTTGGGTCTCCTTGGGTCTCCTTGGGTATCATTGAATAGTCTTTGATGTATTAGGGTATCCTGGGGTCTCCTTGGGTAGTCTTGGGCATTCTTGGGTATCCTTAGGTAGTCTTTGGTACTCTTGGGGAGTCTTGGGTATCCTTGGGTATCCTTGGGTATTCTTGGGTATCCTTGGGTCGTCTAGGGTATTCTTGGGTATCCTTTGGTAGTCTTGGGTATCCTGGGGTATCGGTATCCTTTGGTATCCTTGGGTATCCGCGGCGTTTGTTCCCCCAGGCCAGTGGCCGGAGCAACTTCGTGTCCACCTTGAAGCAGTGGGCGGAGGTGAGCCCGCCCGGCCAGGCGGCGGGACCGCCCGCGGTGGAGCCAGCGGCGGCTGCGGGCGCGCCGCGCGCCGACCCGCATGAGCCTCCCGCGTGTGCGTCGGCATCCGGGGCAGCCGCTTCTGGGGCGAAAACAGGGGCGGCCTCCTCCGACGAGGTGAAGGTCGGCAGCTCCGTGACCGTTCGAGTTGCGAAGGCGGACTTGGTGAAAAAGTTCGGAGACCAGCCGGGCACCGTGGAGGGAGTGCTCGCCGGTGGTAAGAGGTTCAAGGTGCGCATGATGGGCGGCTCGGAGAATGGCAAAGTGCACCAGTTCACTCTGGGCCAGCTCGTGCTCCGGCCCGCGGTGGTGGCGCCGGCGGGCACGAAGCGCCCGCCCGACGCCGTCGACGCCGGCTCGGAGGCCAAGAAGCAGAAGGCGTTGGATGATTTCTTCGGTGACACCAGTGCATTTGAGAATTGATGTTGGCTAGGGCGAGGTATTTGGTGCCACAGTAGGGCCTTGGGACAATTCTTGTGCTTCCGAGAGAGGCGCTGCCTGCGGCCGTCAGCGGGCGCGCTGGCAGCCATTCGTTTTTTTTTTTGTTCTTTTTTAGGGCCGGGCGAAGCAAAAAAAAGGGGGGATTAGGGAAAGGGGTGGGGGTACGAAAGTGCTGCATGCAGCTGTGTTTCGCGTTTCGGCCTCACCGAGGGGCCCATTCCTCGATGCATGGACGCCTCCCGGCGCCGGGAGGCGCCGGGAAAATCAGCTACGTGAGCTGATTCTCAAACCCCCCCTTTGCTATCCCCCCCTTTCGCCCGACCCGAGCCATGCCGCCAGGAAATTGGATGCGCCGAAGCTGGCCGGCTTGGGCGGGAGATGAGTGCAAATGTGGCTCCGCGTGCTTCCAGCGCTCGGCCTTCGCGCCGCGCGGGCCCTTTGCGCGCGCATCCAGCGGATGTGAATTCACGCACGCGCTAAACCATTTTCCTGGCGGCATCTTATCCTTTTCCGAACCCCCCCGCGGTGGCCCGCCGGGCCGTTCGTGGAAACGGTATTCGTGGTGGTTCACGGTGACGCCGCTGGAGTGTACATCAGCACGGCCAGACCGACGCGGTTGGGCAGCGCGACAGACATCATTTTTGTCATCGTCGTCGTCGCTCCCGTCATCGTCGTCTTCGTCGTCGCAGGAACACGGCTGGGGCTTAATCGTCTGATGGGGGCGGGGCGCGGCAGGGGCCGAGTTGAGTCCCTGGGGCAGCTGTGTCCGAAAATCTGCAGCGGGCCGCCAAGGGGCGGTGCGCCCGAGCGGTTGGGGGGGAGGGGAGAGGCGAGGAAGGGGGGAAATGGGGGCGGAGAGGAGGGGGTGCAAGCCCTCGTCCGCGCACCCGGCCACCAGAAGGACTGCATCAGGCAGCGATGCTTGTGCTCTCTCGTTCGCTCTCCCTACTACTTTGCGCTATTGGAGCAGGCCCAGCGCGGGGAAGGAGAGGATCGAGGAGGCAAGGCGCCGATTCTGGTTCAAAACGCCATAATATGTTTGAGGATTTTAGTTTTTTGTGTTGCAGCATAGTTTGTTTGAGGATTTTGTTATTCAGCGTTGATGAGGTTTTCATGTTTCGGTTTCCTGGTCAACAGCATATGTTTTGGGGATTGCTGTTGCCTTTCTCGACCTTGCGGCCGCGGGCAGGCGCCCAGGGGGGGGAGGGGGAGGGGGGGGAAGGGAGGAGGGGGAGGAGGAGGAGGAGGAGGAGGAGGAGGAGGAGGAGGAGGAGGAGGAAAAGGGGGAACATAAAGAGGGGGAGGAGGAGGAAAAAGGGGAGGAGGAGGAGGAGGAGGAGGAGGAGGAGGAGGAGAAGGAGGAGGAGGAGGCAGGAGGAGGACGAGGAGGAGCAGGGGGCGGAGGAGGAGGAGGAGGAGGAGGAGGAGGAGGAGAAATGGGGGGGGGGAGGAGGGGGAAGAGGAGGAGGGGGAAGAGGAGGAGGCGGAGGAGGCGGAGGATGAGGAGGTTTTTTCGCTCTGCTGCAACGCGGGCCCTACCGGGCCAAAGCGGGCGACAGCGCCATGCGCGAGCCCTGCCGAAACGCGCCAGAACGCTATCGGAACGCTATCGGAACACTAAAGAGGACACGAAGGGTCATGCAAGGCTCCCATGAGTTGCCATGTAAGGTGGTTCTGTGGGTGGTGAACCATGTTGGCAAGTCCACAGTGATAAATGTCAGCCTATTTCAAGTGTGAGTCAAGAACCCCCCTGTCAGCCCATGAGTAACCAGAAATGGTAACCGTCGCTTCTTGAGGGCACTGCTGGAGGTCCTCTCGTGTGTACATCGCATACTTGGCTATCAGCATTCGTGAATCCCGCCGCTTATACCACACGGCAAACCATGCAAGACATGCAGTGTCAAGATAGACATGTGACCACAGAGAATGCACTTGTTACATATAAGTTAGCAACAGTGTGTGTATTATATTGTTTTTAGTAAAAACATATCAGAATGCTTCATCATATTTAGTGTTAAACAATTATAAACTTGCCAGCGTTAGCCCGAAATTATCCAAACAATATGGCGAACAAAAAATACCGTCGATCTGACAATGATCTGACGTCAGACCATTGTCAGATCGTAGATCTGACAATGGTCTGAAGATGGCCTGGCGTCAGGCATTGTCAGACATCATGCCTGACAATGGTCTGACGTCAGATCATTGTCAGATCGTTGTGTGTATTATGTGTTTAATTATATGTGTGTTTTGTGACATAATCTCTGATTTGACGGTCGTTTCCTTGTACATCTTCAAAAGTATGTGCATGACAGTAATGGATGTTTCGCATGTATATCCAAATCTGGCCATGCAATCATGAATCACAATTGTACGACAATGTGATGTGATCTCGCGCGCCAGCCTTGAGTGATCGACGGCGCGAGGGCCTCGGATCGGCTTCGGGGTGTCGCGCGGCGGCAATGGCGAAAGCCATGAAAGCTGCTGGCAAAGCTGGCGCCAAGCGAGCTGCTGCGGCCAAGCCGAAAGCAGGGGCCAAACGCGGCGTCAGAAAGGAAGTCGGGATAAATCTGTTTCTGAGAACCCTGGTCCGAGAAACCCTGGCCCGATGAATCTTGGTCCGAGAAATCTCGCGCAGGGACACCCCGATCCGAGAATCGATCGGCCTTGATTTGCTGACCACCCGATCGCAGGACTTCTTGAAGACGGGCGTGGCGGCGTCTGCTGGGAAGTGGCCTGGGCAGTAAAGTTCACCCATTCTCGCGTTCAGTCTATCTCAAAATCGCCCATGGTTTCCGTTTGCTTGGAAACAGGGCAATGGATTGCAAGACGCTGCTTGGGGACATGGCGTCGTTATTGGACCGCGTTCTCGGTGGTCGCCACCCCAGACTCGGCAACCCATTCACCCCCCCACCTCGCCCTCCCAGGGTAACACTCGCCAAATCAGGTCCTTTCAAACCTCATCCTCCTAAACCTGCCCGCGAATTCCCAATGCATCCAGACGGGGCCCATCCACGCCTCATCCTCCTCGAGCGCCCTCGTCGCCCCTCCTCCTGGTTCATGAACCTCCACCATATCCTC